TGGGGTTGCTTGTCTCCACAGGTCCTTGTGTTACATTATACTGACTCCACCGTGTGGCAGAGGAGAGGAAATTCCTGGAAGGATCAAACACTGGAGATACAATCAACACTTGTTGTGACACCTGAGGATCACACGTCTAATGTGGAATAAAGGGGCAGCAGGAGGAGTGAGAGTGTGATCAGGTAAGCAACGCTCCACAGTTACATCAGTCGCTTAATGGCCAATGAAGCTTAAAGAGCTGATTAGTCAGAAAACACTGCTGAGGTCAAGTTTGATGTAGTTTTCATGCAATGGCCAGAAAGTGACTCTTCTGGGACAAGCAGGTGACAATGAGTCATACTTTACCCAGTTTGCTCCTTTTTCAGGATTACAGACAGTTAAAGTTTGTGGTGAAGTATATCCTGCAATGATAAGAGCAGGGCATGCAGAAAAAAAACTATTATTTTTCACCCAGCAGTGCTAAAAAAACAAAAACAAAAAAAACTTTAAGTGTTTTTTTTTTTAAGTTGAGTGCCATTCATCCATCAGCTAATGCCTGGCAAAGACTCAATCTCGCCTTACTCAGTCTAGCCTAAAGCTGTGCAGTGATACAGGAGCTAAAGATGGAAGGCTCAGAGTGTCAGTCTAAAGAGGCCCAACCACACGTGAGGCAGCGTAGATAAGGTTAGAGGGAGGAGGGCGCTGAAAAAGCAAAATAGATGAAAAACACACATTTAGTTAAGATTGTTTTTAGAGTTACAAATGATAAACTAAGGAGTGATAACATCCAATTCTGAGATTTTAATTTGCAATGTTATAAATAGATGTTTTTTATAAGTTTATTTGCCATAAGAAAACATTTTATGATGCTTTAAGAATAAAGTGCAAGCCACTAAACGTGAACCTTTAAACGCTCTAACAGCCTGATTTCTGTTTAAAAGACATAGATTCCACATACAGGCAAAACACAAAAAAAAAAATGGATGTAGCTTTGGATTGTGTTTCCTAACAACACCTTCAAGCATGCTGGGGTGGTCAGCTTCAAACCAGTGCTAGCTATGCCATGTTAAAGACTGCAGTTAAATCAATCAAAAGTTCTGCACGGAACCTTTAATAAAAATGATTTCTGGTCACTGGGTTGTGTACAGGTAAGTGTCATGATGGACAGTTTTTGAGAATAATAATTGCTTGTTGCTGATTAATAAATTGCCTTTTTCTATAGGCTGAGCCTTGAAACTGGTTTTCATATTTGTAGTTTTCACTGACCTCTGCTCCTCCTCCAGCTCCTCTTTGGTCATCATCTTTTCCATGTGGTGGGATCGTGCCTTTCCTGGGACGTACTTCAAGGAATTATTTGCATTTGACTCTACCTTTTCTGCTGAAACAGACCCAATTTTGATTAAAAACAAACAAACAAAGAAACAAAGGCCAAAAAAACCAAAAAAGGAAATAAAAATATTTTGCTCTTTCCAAGTGAGTAAAAGTGCATACCATTCATCCCCGCTCTCTCTGATGCTCCTTCAGTTTGGGGGTAAGAAAAAGCACACTTTAGGAGCTGTGTATCAGAAAGCCCAATGAGCGACCTTCGGCCTGTCCCTGATGAAGCATCGGATGATGACTCTGCCTCTAAGATTGTATTCCTAGATCCAGGCCTGGACCAATCAGCCAGGGTTTCTTGTTCTTCAGATTGAGGGTGGGAGTGTGCTTCCTCCTGTTAGATAATTAAGGGATAAATGAGGAGAATCATACCATACTTTCAATGTTTTCCTCACAGACAGTGATGTCACTGATGAATTTACACACTCAGTAAGCAGATCCTGGATTTCCCACACAGTCACAACCCAAAATGAGGGACCTAGTGGTAGTTGTTTTTTTTTTATTAAGTTAAAAAACAACTACCACTAGGTACAGTTTATACTTCTCATTTTCTTGACTGATCAAATCATCTCTTATTTTTGAATTATTGCCAAAAACTATCAGGAATGATACACCTACTATGATAAGAGTTAGAAAAACCTTTATTATTCACATTTGAGATTCAACTTTGGCTCAAAGTAAGCATTTTATCAAAATTTATACTGAATACTGTCCAATCAGCTGACATACGCAGCTGTCTACAAAGAAGGTGAAACATCTTTGTGAGGAAAAGCTACAACCTTAAAATTCTGATTTCACGTTAATGCATCAGTACTGATATTGTATTCACATGTAACGTTGTAAACACTAATACATCAGAATTAGTGCATTTTTTACACAATCTCTAAGTTTACGGTCATTTTAAATCGAGAATCATAGAATTAAGGATCTAAATGTTTTTCTGAGCTTCTATACTTGGATTTGAGTCTCTCAGTGGGAGGGAAAGTTGTGAAACAGATTGTGGGAGATCTACGCAGACCTCTATCTGTGTTTACACTAAATGACAGGCGGATTACAGACAGGCTACTTACAGAAAGCACAGATTTCACTACATCCCAGTGATCGTGTGAGCTCCCGCTGATTTCGCACCAGTCGTCCGCCTCCTTCTTCTTTTTCTTATCGGGTAGATGGCCATTCTGTTTCGGGCCGGATTGATCTAATCCTCTGGTCACACCATCTCTGTGTCCGAAATAACTCCGCGCATTTGCAAAGTCTGCTGCAGGCGATGAGCCGTTTAAAAGCGACGTTGCGACCACAATGGCGAGAAGCGTAGAAATAATAGCAAATAATACAAAGGTTATATCCATTGTAGGCGTGCCTTGCCCCCGTGTCGTGACTCTTAAATGCTGCTGTTCCGCTTTCCGTTCACTTTAACCCACCGTATGCGCTCAATCGGCCATCCCGCTGCTTGCAGTAATCCCCACCAAACATCAACGTTAACGAGCAGCGTTTACGAGACATGGTACAATCTCCTCTCCGAGCTGGACGTCACATCCTCTGGTTCCGCCCCTCACTCCATGTGAGCCGAATATCCCTGCGGTTATATCCCCTGGCTGTCGTGCTTGTCAGGTGGGCATGCACGGCCCTCTGCAACGTGCTGGGTCTCGGCTCGCCGCCCGTCTGTGCCGTTAATCGCATCAGCGGCGGTCCTAGCGCACAAAGCGAGAAACTAAAATGGTTTGTGACAGAGCCCGTGTGCCTAAGGTGCAGGCTGATGAAGTCAAGCCGGGTTTACCGACAGTTTATACATAAGGTGTTCTCACCTTAGTGTGCACCTTCCTAGTAGTCTGCTTCACGGATTAAAGTGGAAGGTGAACCAAGAGCGAACTACATGAGATGAGATGGATGGATAGACTGTAGAGGTGGCCACAGTACGGATATTCTGTAGTAGAAGTACATTTGTACCAGTTATTTTGATGCAAAGCTAACTGAACTGTCCTATATTCATGTAATAACACAATAAATAGGAGTACAAACTTTATTTTAGTCTAAATTTTAATACTAATAAATGTTCTCAATTTGAATCTGTTAAGTAGAATATGAGCAGAGAAAATTAAGGAAAATACTATATATGTATATGTGTGTATATGTATATATATCTTTTTCTGTTGCCTGGCTTATTTCCATCCTCTGCACTGACAGTGTATTGTTTATAGAGGTGAGAATTAATGAAGTATTTGTACTTCGTTACTGTACTTAAGTAGAATTTGCAGGTATCTGTACTTTACTTGAATCTTTTTGAGCTTGATATGCCCACAATCAACCTTTCTACCATGATTTCATTTATTGTGTGACTGAACTTAGCATGACTGTAAGCTTAATTTCCACTGGTCACTCAAATCTATGTTACACTGCACAGCGGCTAAGGTTCAACTAAACTTTCACTATTTAGAAAACACATTTACTCTCTCTCTCCTTCCTCATGTCCCTTTTTCTTTTTTTATTGCTCTGTCAGGGGTCAGCGAGGGAAAACAAATGTGTTTGGGACAACGAAGCATTCAGACCATGATTCTACATGCTAAAGCTGGACAGGAGTTTTTTAAAGGGCAAAAAAACCCAAACAAAAACAAATTAAACATAACCAACACTTTTTATATCAATAACCCTGTGTTATCAGAACAAAGTCCTCTTTTCTTTGTTAATGTTTCGTGAAGTGTGTTTGAATCTGCACTACAGACCCCAAAAAGGGTCTAAACCCACCAATAAAATTAGATCATAAACTCATTAAGAGAGTGTTTCTAAGGTTATAGACAAAGCGAGCCAAATACATTCTATATAAATAATTCTATACAACCCTTTGATACTGGTCAAGTTGCCCCCTACTGGCCATTAGTAGGAATGCAAATTTAAGCCATTTCAGCACTTTTACTTTCCGACCTGGAAGGAAAACCCATCCATCATCAATCCCTCCTACAACAAACAACTACAGTGTGCATCTGCAACTTTTAGGTTTGAATTTTTTTAAATAAATAAATAAATGAATAATATACAGACTAAAGATCAACTTACAAACATAATGTTGCTAATGTAAATGATGGTAAATAGTTTTACAACTACCCTGAGCACCAGGGCCCTGTTTGATAAACTTTTCTGCTAGAAATGACAAATTCTCCACCAAAACTGTAGTTGCAAAATAAAATGTTGATATTAACTTTAGCAGAGTTCACCCACTTTAACATTTCCATGCCCATCTTGGCTTACATGAAGCATTATAATTGTTATGGTTTTACAATTATAAGCGCCCCATCAACAACTGCTGGGATTAATTATGGAGCCTATGTTTTACACACAAATCCATTTCAGAGTGCATTAAACATTAAATATCTGTTTATATTAATTTTAATGTTTTCTGTTTTGATATAATTTCAAAATTATGTACATCAAAGGAAGTTTAAATCATTTATTTGCTACAAGACCACCAACTCCTGCTCCTCTGGGAGTGCTTATAGTGGCTCAGTTATTTATCAGCTGCTTATAGGCAAGTCCACAGAACACATTTTTGGGCCCAATAGTTTATCTGTAACATGGAGCCAGCTTTGAAGGTTATCGACTGCTGTATTTATCCTCTGAGGTAGTGTCAGTATTCCGCCCCAGCCTTCCCATTTGTGTGAACAATTCATTTTAGCATATTTCCACAGGCTTAGCAATGCTTTCAAGACAAAGCGTCACATTTCTATTGTAGATAGATATTAGCTAACAATTAAAACATACTACACAGTGATGATGGTCATACACAAACAAAAAGAACAAAACACCCATCAGATTGTTATCAAGTATCTTAAACCAAAACAGTCTGTTGATATAAACACTTTGAGTTGTCAGATATCGATGGATCAGTGTCTTTGACTTGTGACAGATTATATGATGGATGCAACACCTCCACCTAGCTGAGGCTGGGGGTGTCGCACGTCCTGAGGAACTTTTGCATGTGAGGCAGATGTGTTAACCACTGAAAATCTTTACTGACAATGACTGCTGTTCCCAATAAATGGCACAGTCAGTGGAAGCACAAAAAAAACTAAAGAAAAAAGTAGAACACTGTAGCTTTTAACTGGAGTTCTATATTGCTGCTGAGCAATATAGACTCTAAACAAGCACAAAGTGTGAGAAATGAATTTATTTTATTTTAAACAAAAATGTTTATTAGCATTCACCGTAAGCACTTACAAGACATTTGAGAGGTTCACAGAGGAATGCAATACACATCATAAAGCAGGCAGAACTGCCCTTGAAACCCTTCAACTAAGAGTCCCACTGGAACCACTTTCAAAGCGAGCAAGACCAGTTATCAACAGTTGATAAACCATAGAGAGGAGCAAAGGGGGGGAAAGGAGGAGGGAGAAGAAAAAGAAAAGAAAGAGGATCTGTACAGCACATGGAGGGAAGGTGAAGTCACAAGACAGGAGAGGATGGATGATCTGCCACACCTGTGAGCTTACAAACCGGCAAACAGCAGCGGAGGGTCGAGCCCCGGAACACACCGGGCACTCAGCACCGCAACACGCCACACCATGTCACCACCGCACTGCACCGCATCTTAACAGCTAACCAGCATTATTCAACTGCTACACAACTGCGCCTAGTGCACAAAAGATACACAAGAAAGAGGGTTAGAGTCATAGGAAAGCAACTTTAACCAGACAGAAAAAAAAATTGACAGAAAAGAAAAATGCATGCTGCTGGATTAGCAAGTCACAAATTAAGTGGGTTGCTTGTCACTGAACAACAAGCCATTTTCCAAGTAAGAGTGGTAAAACATAGTTGTAAATACACTGAATAACACCCCCTCTTTTTTTAAACAACTTCAAAACTTTTCATAGCTAACTGGGAAGGGTGTGTAAAAAGGGTTTTCACTGGAGGAAAATCTTTAGTTCAGAGTAATTAAGTGTAAAAATCAAAGTGAAAAAAGAAAATCTAAATGACGGAAGAAAAAAAACCCTCACAAATACCTTTGAATAAGCTCAGCTTTACAAACAATGATAAATCATGCCAAATTTACAGAATTTGTTTAGGTATATCAAGTCAAATTAGACATTTAAAACATGTTAGACCAAGTTCCAATAACCTTTGAGTCTGCATTCAGTGGCAATATTTGAGTCCACTTCAATCTGAGACTCTTCCTGATGTCCTCAGCATAGCATCAATCATTTGAGATCTGGAAGGAAAGACAGAACAGAGTTAGCAAGAGCCAAACCCAGAGGTTACATCAACTCCTGCAGCTGACCTGGATTATAACATGTAATTCTGTACTGATCTTTGTCCTGACACATCAAACTGGCTCTATGGACATTTATTTCTCTTAATAAGCCTAACATTTCTATTTATTGTCACAATAGTTAAAAAACAAAAACACCCTTCCTCTCCCCAAAACTAGCTCTAACAAGTCTCTTACACTCGGGCATATTTGAAAAACAAACCTCGGGGTCCGTTCCCTTTGTGAGAGGCGGAGGACACCACAGTGCATCTGCCTGTGGTCCCTGTGAACGTACCTCACCACACCACCTCATACACCAACTGACAGCCCGAACCACCGCCATGACGACCTGCTCCATAGCAACCACCGTTGCCTTGTTGACCTGCTCCTTAGTACCTGCCATCGCTCTCAGCAACAGGCAGGTCACATGGGCGGGTCACACACTAACTGCTCTCACACTGCAACACCCCCATCTCCTCCTCCTCCCTTTGCAAACAGGACTCCGCAGCTTGGAGGAAAGAATTCCACATTTAGGTGAACGTTTTGAGTGAAGCACCCCCCACACGTCCCAACCACCCACTCCCTCCCATACATACTCAACAAATATCCCAATCTCCCATTGCCTGTGCATGCTTTAGATTGGCTGGACATGCAAGCAAAGTAAAGCACACACAGAACTAGGACTGTTGGCTACAACAGTCCAACTCTTATTTAAATAACACAAATATCAGGGATTCTGCAGACCTTTGTATGTAAATGGCCATAATGTCAAAGACTGCAGAACACAAACCCAACTGGTGCTGATTACCACCCTAGTTAATATAATTGTAACTAATAATATAAGCCACCCTTTCCCCTTTATACCGTCATGTTGCATCTGCATTTGGGTTAAGACTCTGCTCCGGTGTCCTCTGGGGATTTAGGTCTACTCTTGGATTTGGACCTGGACCTGGACTTCGACTTTGACCTGGACCCTCTGTTGGAAGCTGGGGTTCGACTCCTTGACTTGGACCTGGAGCGGGACCTAGATCTGGAGGGCGACTTTGACTTGCTTCGCCGGGGGGTTCTGGATTTGGACTTAGACTTGGACCTTGACCGGGAGTAGGAACGGGACCTGGAGCGGCTGTAGTGGTGGCGGCTCCTAGATCTAGAGCGGCTTCTGCTCCTGGACCGGCTGTGGCTACGTCTTCGACGGCGAGGACTGGCTGAACGGCTACAGACAAAGAGAGAGAGAAACAATATAACAATTTAGTCAGCAAAGGTCCTACAGCTTTTTTTAAAGAGGAAAATGTGAAAGTAAAATTTTTCTGTTTTCATTCACGACTAAACAATATATTTAAGTTATCAACAACTATTTATACCAAATAATGCATTTGTAAACTACCTTGCGCTTTAGCCACCATGTCAGTGAGGATTACCAGGCAATCTTTGGCTGGTAAACATAAACAGTGGAAGAATGCTAACTACTTTCGTTTAGGTCACCATGTGCTTTGCAAACCGCTTAGTGTAAACAGTCCCTTGCGCTAAACTAACGACCTAAATTACCTCCTGCTTCTGCGTCCGTATCCGTATCTCCGTGGCGGAGGACCTCTCCGGCTGTACATGGAGTCTGGCGGCCTTCCGTATCGAGCCATCTGAACCCGAAGCTCCCGTCCGTCGAGCAGCGCGCCGTCCATGGCGTCCATTGCGTCTTCGGCGTCGCGCTTGTCGAGGAACCGCACGAAAGCGAAGCCTCGGCTCTCCTTGGTGTACCTGTCCCGCGGGATATACACATCTCCCACACGGCCGTATTTCTCAAAAACTCGGCGCAGAGTCTCCGGCGAAGTTCGGTAAGTCAGGT